AAAAAAAAAAAAAAAATGCAGTAACACTTAAAATAGCACACACGTAAGTGGTAATTTTCAGGAAAACCCCCACATACATCTCTATGCAATGGATGACCAATTATGCTATTATTGCTTATTATATACTTCATTCATTTAATACTTTTACAAAGTAAAAATTATTTTCATTCTTAACTGTGACTTTAAGAAGTGAAATTTACATTTTTAAAACAGATCGGTAGTGTGCGAAACGTAAACTGTTTAGTCGAGAGGTTTATGTATATTTGCAGATAATCATAGGCAGGAAGGAATAACACAAATACCAAAGTGCAAAACCCTGGTAATTTAGAAAAGCAGTTATTAAAAAGAAAGTAGGAGGAGGTTTAATGTGGGGAGGGCAAGATCAGATATACTTAGGAAGAAAAAAGTTCTTATTTGTAGGAGATACTGAGACTGCCTAATTCTAGGTTAACTCTTGTCTGTGTTGGCTATTTTGCTCTGCTTCAAAAGGCAACAGACCACACTCCTACCTCAGACAGGCAGCCTGCATCCTGTGAGCAATCTGGGCAAGTGTTTATAGATGGCTTTGGATCAAAGTGGTGTTCTGGGGAGTGCAGAGAACCACAGCGTCAGGGGGAAAAAAAAGGATATGCCTGCCCTGGAATACCGATGATCTTTAAGAGTAATTTAGAACATTGCTTTTGTATTAAAAATGAAACATCTCTATGCCACAGAGTAGAATGTAAATTTAATTACAAAAATGGCGATTTCAAAGGAATTTTGAGCCTATGCATACATATCACCTCAAAGCCCCAGGATGGCTCATTTTGTGTGTTTTCTGTCATTTGGGGCACTTGGGGGAGCAATCAGAGAAGCCCTGCTCTACAGATTGAACCAAGGACTACAACTTTGGGAGAATCTGAGTGGAGATGATCAAGCCCTCTCCTAATTAGCAAAGGCAGTGGCTAGCAGATGGAAGTACTTACAAGTTACCTTTTCCCCATCTACAGATTAACTGGAACCATTAGCCATCTCTGTGCCTTTCACTTTAGGTAAGAGCCCCAGGCAAATTCAACTGTGTTCTGGCTCCAATTCTACTCTGCA